TCGTTTTTGAGGTCAACAATAATTTGCGACAAACCGGCATGGCGGTTCTCAGAAGCCGCTTCGGTACGTACAAGACAGATAATGTAGTGATTGCGATGAGCGTCTGTTGTCCATATCTTGGTACCGTTGATACGGTACTCGTCACCTTCTTTAATGGCGGTGGTACGCACTGAGGCCAGGTCCGAACCGGTATCCGGTTCACTCATGCCTATCGAAAAGAAGGCCTCACCGCGCACAATCTGGGGCAGATAGGTCTGACGTTGTGCTTCGGTTCCAAAACGCAGCAGCAGCGGACCACTCTGACGATCCGCTATCCAGTGCGCGCTCACCGGTGCACCCGCAGCCAGAATTTCTTCAGTGACCACGTAACGTTCAAAGAACGTTCGCTCGCCGCCGCCATACTGCTTGGGCCAGTTCATGCCTATCCAGCCTTTTTCACCAAGTTTACGGCTGAATTGCGCATCGTGGCCGGTGACAAAGTCAGAATTCGGCTTCGGAAAGTGTGCTTTATTTTCGTCAAGAAACGCACGGACATCGCCGCGCAGTTTTTCCGTGTCTACATCGAGACTGACTCGATCAAATTGCAACATAGTGATCTAAACAGTGACTTAAAATGGGCCACAACCGTAATGCCCTGAGCGGCCAGATGCAATAATATGCGGTCTGACAAAGCAGATGGCAGTAACGTGGACCAGGACGAGCTTCTCGAAAAATTCCAGGGCGTGTTCAACGACATACGCGAACGCTCGTCGGTGGTGGGCCGCTTTATCGACCGGGATCTATATCGGGTCTACATAGCTACGTTGTGGTCAAACGTGGTGTTGTCGCCAGATGAGGTAGGTCTTGAAGAAGCTGATCTCGAAGTACTGCACGATGTATTGATTACCGAAATCAATGACGCCATCGGACCCAACGAAACGCTGCACACGCTGTTCAAGTTCATCAGCGGCAAAGAAGGTGAGCGGGCCATGGGCGAAGCTCGGCTGACGCAGTCACACAAAGACCTGCTGACTTACTTCGCGAGCATGATTCTGGACCCCGAAGGCCATAAAAAATTCATGCAGGACATTCGCGAGCGCCAGAAGCGCTGACACTGATCTAACCCAGCACGTTCACTATAATCTGCCGCGGTCCCGGTCGGTGGCGATGCTCCCAGAGAAAAATGCCCTGCCAGGTGCCCAGCGCCAATTCCCCCGCCAGCAACGGTATCGACACACTGGTCGCGGTCAGCGCTGACTTGATGTGAGCCGGCATATCATCGGGACCTTCCTGCGTGTGTGTGTACAGGCTTTCATCCTCCGGCACCGCCTGGTGCATCCATTGCTGCAGATCCGCCAAAACCTGAGGATCAGCGTTCTCCTGAATAAGCAGGCTAGCTGACGTATGTCGGATATAAAGTGTGACCAAACCCTCACGCGGGAGAGACCCAGGCAACAGTGCCTGCACTTTGTGCGTGATGTCATAGAGGCCCTGGCCTTCGACAGTTAAGTTGAGAATGGCGTTCAAGGATGGCTCCAATACTGCGCAATGCGTGGGCTAATAATGATATGACATCAACTGCTTTGCGACGATTTGTTGCAGACATCGCGTGTTTGGCTCTGCTCAGTGGCGGGTTTTTTCTGCTATGGCTGACGCTGGCGCCACAGGATGGATGGGATACTGCTTTTCCCGCGGCAGATCTATCCATATGGCTGACACAGACCACGCTCACCCTATCCGCTGCCCTCATCGGGCTATCCGCCATGATATTCTGGCTGAATCGTATGTCCGAGGGCTTTTCAGCTGCGGATCTGGTGTCTCAATTGGACCAACCCAGTGTCGGCTATCTGATCGTCGACAAAAGCGGCCGCATTGAAGCTGTGACACCGACTGTGTTGCGCTTGCTGGACAAACCCTCGCCCGATTTGATGACACAGCCCATCACCAGCGTTTTCCCTGCCGAGGTTTGGCAGACCCTGAGCGAAAAAGCGTCCGCCAGCGACCCGCTGGAAGCACTCTCTGAAAACGAACAGTTACCATCGCCTCAACACAATGTGGTGTCTGCCTCGATCAGCACCCCTGAAGGCAGACGCTCACTGGAATTTCGTGTCAATCATTCCCTGCCCAAACGTCAGCGCAAGGGCCGTACGGTCATTCAGATTAATGACAATACTGAAATCGCAGCGAACCGCAAAGCACTGAACAACGCCGGCAACCAGTTGCGGCGCATGTTAGGCAAAGGCTCCGACCTGGTACTGTTTACCGACAACAAGCTGATCATTCACTATGCCAACGATAACGCCCGCAATGCGTTAAGCGGAGACAGCGGTGACCTGCTGGGTCAGCCCATCTACCGCTACATCAGCGAAAACGACCGCCGCAGCTTCATGAAAAGCATGCAGCAGTTCAGCCAGAAAAATCGCAACGAGGTCACACTGCGTAACGTGCTGCTTGCTGATAGCGACGATACGCCAGCCAGCGCACACATTGTTCGCCTGTCGGCACCGGAAATACCAGGATATGCGATTATTTTCAGTGTGGTCGAACGTCACCTGAAAGCCCTGGCAGAATCCAAAGCAACTCAGGCTCGATTTTCTCAGGTCTTTCATGGCACACCGGACGCGATATTGCTGATCCGGGCTGTCGACACAATGGTGATGGATTTCAACGACGGCTTCAGCCGTCTGTTGGGTTATAGCCGCGAAGATGCTATTGGTGTCCTGGAAATCGACTTGGATTTCTGGGCTAACAAAACTGAACGCGATGCGGTCATTGAACGAGCCCGTCACGAGCGCGAAGTGATTGACTATGAAACCACCCTGCGGGCTGCAAACGGCGCCATTGTCCACGTTGAAATTTCGCTACGCTACGTCGAGATAGACAACGAGCTGTGCATGTTATGCACCGGTCGCGACATCACCAAACGTATTTCTGCTGAAGCTGCGCTGATTGAATCCGAAGAAAAATTCGAAAAAGTGTTCAGCCAAAGCCCGGACGGTATTGTCATTCTCAGGACAAGTGACGGTGTTGTTACAGACCTGAATGACGCCATCCTGCATCGGAGTGGGTACGCTCGGGAAGAAATCATCGGCCAGTCGATTTATGAAATGCAGCAGCTCATCAATACCGACGACATGGCAGCGGCTGCGGAGATATTAAGCAGCGAGGGTGTGTTAGCCAACAGAGCCGTTTCGTTTATCACCAAATCAGGTGAGAGCGTACCTTCGCTGATATCCGCTACAATCGTCGAACTGTCGGGTGAAGCCCACATCATGGTGATAGCCAAAGACGTCAGCAAACAGCGCATTACCGAACAACGCCTGCGCAGCAGTGAAGAACGCTTCCGCGGCATTTTTGAGAATGCCCCTATCGGCATCATGCTGGTCGATATGCAGGGTCGCGTTTCCCAATCGAACCGCACCGCAGCAGATCTGTTGGCCTACGATGAAAAGGATATGTTCGGCATTCATATTTCACGGCTGGTGCCTTCTGAGGATCGCGCAGCCCTGAAAGAAAAACTCAACGCACTGACCGTCAAAGAGATCAACACAGACCGTGCTGAACGCCGCATGATCTGTCGCGACGGTCTGGAAATATGGACCAACTTTCATGTTGTCCTGCAGCAGAACAGCTCTGGCGACGGGCAGTACTACATTGTCCAGATCGCTGACATCTCGGACATCAAACGCAGCCAGCAGCGCATGGAACGGATGGCGTTTTATGACACGCTGACCGACCTTGCCAACCGACGCTTGTTTCACGAGCGCCTTGATCACGCCATTGAACACAGCCGTCGTGCCGAGAGTTCCAGCGCACTCCTGTACCTTGACCTCGATAATTTCAAGCGCGTTAACGACACCCTTGGACACCAGATTGGCGACCATCTCTTACGCGAAGTGGCCGCAAGACTGGAGCAATGTGTCCGCGCCGAAGATACCGTAGGCCGAACCGGCGGTGATGAGTTTACGATTCTACTGGCCGAAATCGGCTCTCCAACAGATGCCGGTGTTGTCGCGCAGAAAATCCTCAATCACCTGAGAGAGCCGATCCATGTTTCCGGCCACCCGCTGATTGTCACCACCAGTATCGGCATCACCGTCATCCCGGGTGATTCGGTAGACCCAAATGAATTGATGCGCAACGCTGATCTTGCGATGTACAAAGCCAAAGAACGCGGACGCAACAACTATCAGTTCTATTCTGAAGATCTCAACATCAATGCAGCCAAAAGGTTGCGCACCGAATATGAGATTCGTCAGGCGTTGGACAACGGTGAATTCGAACTCTACTATCAGCCGAAAATTGATATCACCAGCCGCGAAGTTGTCGGCGTTGAAAGCTTGATTCGCTGGAATCATCCTGAAAGAGGTTTACTGGGTCCTGACGAATTTATCGGGGTTGCCGAAGAGACAGGCAGCATCATCGACATTGGCACCTGGGTTATCGAAGAAGCCTGTCGAGCCTGTCAGTGCCTGACGACCGACCACAACCGGCCGGTTAAAGTAGCCATCAACATTTCACCTCGACAGTTTCGCGACCCTAACCTGGTGGCCACCATGCGCCGCAGCCTGCGCGAAACCGCCCTGGATGCTAAAAACATCGAGGTGGAAATCACCGAAACCATGCTGATGCAGGATGTTGATGCCGCGCAGATCACCCTGCAGCGGTTATCTGACCTGGGGCTCAGCCTTGCTATTGACGATTTCGGCACTGGTTACTCTTCGCTGAATTATCTGAAACGTTTTCCGATCAATACCGTAAAGGTCGACCGCAGCTTTGTTATGGACATCCCATCCAGTCCGGATGACATGGCCATCACCCGAGCCGTGATCGCCATGGCACATCAACTGAAGATGGAAGTGGTTGCGGAAGGTGTTGAAACTCAGGAGCAGTTTGATTTTCTTGCTGAACAACGTTGTGAGTTCGCACAGGGCTGGCTGTTCAGTAAAGCCCTGACGCTGGATGAAGCCAGCGCGTTCATGCGTGAATCCAGCGCAATAACAAACGTCAGCTGAACCTGCCTACTGAATAAACCACAGACTCAGCGCCGGCACATAAGTGATGAAACCCAGCGCGACCAACAGCACCACCATAAACGGCCAGGTTGCGGCATAAAGCTCAAGCAGCGGTTTGTTGAACCGGTAGCTGGCGACAAAAAGGTTCATACCCACCGGCGGCGTAAAATACCCAATCTGCATATTTGCAAGAAAGACAATGCCCAGATGTACGGGGTGAATGCCATAGCCGGCGGCCACTGGCAGAAGCAACGGCACCATGATGACGATAGCGGAATAAATATCGAGAATTGCGCCTAACGCCAGCAATAGAACATTCAATAGCAACAGAAACCCTAACGGGCTCGAAATATAAGTCTGCATCAACTCAAACAGCTTCTGCGGTATTTCCGCATCAACGAGAAAATTGGTGAATGCCAGCGCGATACCCAGAATAAGCAGAATACCCCCGACCATGACCATGGATTCCACCATGACCTTCGGCACTTTCCGCAGGGAAACCTCACGATAAAGAAAAACTTCGACAAACAAGACGTAGAACGCTGTGACGGCAGCCGCTTCGGAGACCGCGAAGAAACCACTGAACACTCCACCCAGAACAACAAAAGGCAGAGGCAATTCCCAACGCGCGTCTTTAACCGACTGCCAGACGTTAGGCCAGGTAAATGGCGTACGCGGAATTACCCCGCCGCGATGTTTCCACAACGTCCAGGCTGTCAGCAGCCCCAACATCAGCAGCAACGGGCCAATGCCGGCAATAAACAGATCAACTATGGTGAAGGGCTCGCCAACATCAAGTTGTTGCGCAATTACACCGTAAAGAATCAATGGCACGGACGGCACTAACAGCAAACCCAGACTGCCGGAAGAAGTCACCAGACCCAGACTGTAACGTTCAGAAAAGCCGGCTTCTTTCAGTGCGGGGAGCAACAAAGCACCTAACGCAACAATAGTGACACCTGATGCACCGGTCAGTGCAGTAAACACCGCACAGGCAACAAAACCGACCACCGCCAGGCCACTGGGGAGAAAGCCAAACATGCTTTGCACCAGATTAACCAGACGTTTCGAAGTATTGGCTTCACTGAGCAGATAGCCGCTGAAGGTAAACAACGGCAGCGCGACCAGCAGGGGTGTATCAACAATGCGGTAGAGTTCAATGGCAACAATCGCAAGGTCAATATCAGCACTGTAAAAACCCAGAAGCGCAGCACCCAGCAGGACGGAAAACAGGGGCGCACCGGCAACAGCCGCCAGCACCAGTAGCGCAATTCCGAACCAGATCACGTTTCATCCCTGGCTGGCACAATGGTGAGGATCGCGTAGCGTAACGCCATCACAGCAGCACCAATGGGCATGATAATTTCGCAGAGCCAGGCCGGCACAACACCAAAGGCGATGGTGCCATCTTCAAATTCGTAACGTACAAACTCAATGCTGTACCAGGCAAAAATCAGTAGAACCAGACAGGTAAAGGCACTGACAAAGCGACTCATGTAGGGTTTGAATTGCGGTGATACGAAGCGACTGGCGATATCTATACGAATGTGTTCATTACGTCGCGAGGCGATCATGGCGCCCAACATGGCAACCCACAACACCACAACGCGTACTGCGCTATCACCCCAATACAAACCGCTGTCGAAGAAATTTCTCAGCACAACCTGGGACGCAGACAACAGGATCATCGCAGTCAGCAGCAGGGCTAACAACGCTTCTTCGGCGTGATGAATCAGCCGTAAGGCAGTCTTAACCACCTGACTTGCGGAACTCTTCCAGCAACGCCACGGTTTTGTTGTACATTTCCGTGGAGACATAACCCGTTTCAACAAGACGGTCCGTCGCCTCAGCAGCGAGACTCAACCACTCCTGCATCTGTGCCTCATTCGGGGCAGCCCAGTTGATACCCTGCTTTGCTAAAGCCTGCTTGGCGCTTACGTGATCACGTCGGGCTGCCTGGTCCGCGCTATGCACGGCTGCGCGCAGCTCTTCCTCAACAATCACCTGCTGTTCCGGTGTCAGCCGGTTAAAGGGTTTTTCCGCCATGGCGGCTAACCCGTAAACGTACAATATCGGTAAATCAAGTCCGTACTGAACCTGAGTATGCCACTGCAGCGCGATAGTACCGATCGGTGGTGACGCGATGCTGTTAATTAAACCCGTCTGCAAACCGGCCAGCACATCAGCTATGGGCAGCGGTATAGGCGAAATATCAAACGCTTCAAACGCGCGCAACGAACCAATATCGTTATCCGGCGTCCAGACCTTGCTTTCCTGCATCTGTGCAACACTCTGCGTAGGCTGCTGGCTCATGGGGTAAGCAAAACCTACTTCGGCAAAACCGAAACCTACAAATTTATTCTCACGCAAACCCGCCATCAGCTGTTCATCGAGGTTGGCGCGAACGTGATCAATCTCCGCGTCACTGCGGAACATCAGCGGCAGGTTGTATAACGCAATATCAGGATAATTCTGTACCAGGCCACCGGAGGTCAGTACCGCACCATGCAGCTGTCCAACGCGCATTTTGCGCAACACGGCTTTGTCATCACCCATCACCCCGCCAGGATAAAACTTCATTTTCACCGCACCGTCGGTGCGCTGTTCAATAGCTTTACCGTGCTGGCGCAGGAGCTTCATCCAGCTTGACCCTTCTGGCGACAGCGTGGCGATTTTGAGTGTTGCCGCGGTCCCATAGGGTGCGCACAACAGGGCAAGGCTGAAAGCAAGAAAGGCAAAAATACGTTTAAAAATAGTCATCTGCTGAATCCAATAGTTGCCGGGCCTGTTCTTTGGCCACGGTGTTCATCAATGTAAGACCCGGTGCGCGCGCCGGCGCTTCGATCACCTCGGTCAACAACCTGTCGTGCAGCTCGCGATCAAACACGAGGCGTGCGTACTGCTCTGCGTACATCACTTTGGCCAGTAAATTGGTACCGCCAGAGCGTTCAATAGCCTGTTCGAAATGTGCTTTACCAATTTCAGGCTTACCGCCCATCGCCGGGGGAAACAGCGTTTCAAAAACGCCCAGATAAAGGTACACACCACCACTGTCATAATCGGGGTTAAGTTCTGCTGTGCGTGCCATAAGCGCTTTTACCCTGGCCAATTCGGCTATCGCACTGAAATCATCGCTGTTGGCCTGTATCCAGCTTGCCCAGGTTGTGCCCAAATCGTACATCCGTGGCACCTGTGCCGCCTTCTGACGCGTCAGCCAGGCATTGAACTCTGCAAACGGACGGCTATCCAGGTCACACGCGTCTTTCAGCCCATAACATGCCGACGCCAACGCCTGGTCTTTAGCCTTATTGTGCAGCAACTGCGCTCGGGTCTCGTCGCTGACAAATGCTGCAGCATAGGCCGAATGTAATTTTGCTGATTGCTGCAACATAAAGGGATCCTGCGGGGACCGCGCCACCAGTGAGTCCACCAGAATCAGATAAGACGGCGCGCCATCGCGCACCATCGCAAGATCTTCATTGTTCAGAATAGCTGCAGATAAATCTTCTGCAAAACTCTGGGTAAAAGAACCCACCAGGGCACTGCACCCGCTTAACGTAGTCGTCAAACACAGGAGAATGGCAGCGGTCGGAAAGGATTTTAACTTCATGGTATTTGCTGACCGATACAATTCACCCCATGGAGAACTGCACGGTGTATTGAACTATTTACTTAGCGCCTCAACATCTGCGTATAACATGTCAAAGGGCGGTCTTCGTCGATACCCGGGTACGGCATATTTTGCTTTCACTGTGCCGTCAACACCAACAAAAATGATGCCTGGGTGCGGTATGCCATATGCGCGATGTCCGGGTGCGTAATCTTCATTGAGAATGCCTAAAGCCAACACGTATTTTGCGGCCTGGTCCTGCAACAACGGATAGCTGAGATTCTCGCTGCTGTGAAAACCAGCCAGAATTTCCTGGCTATCGTAAGTCATGGCGGCCACATTGACCCCCAATTCGGCAAATTTTTCCTGCCATTCTGCCAGTTGAACCAACTGGTGTTTACAGAAGGGTCACCAGTCAGCCGAACGGCTTAAAAACAGCAACAAGCCCTGATCACCAGATAGATCCGCCAGACTACGCTCGACCCCAGCCTGATCTGGCGCGGCTATAGGGGGCATTTGAGCACCCAGCGCCGGGCCCCAACCCGCGGAATAGTCATCCGCACTGACCGGGATCGCAACTGCCGCGCAGGTGATGACTACAAGCCTGGCGAGCCAGCGATGCAGCAATCCTGATTCAGACATAATCCTTCCCTGTTGTTGTATCTGCTGAGCCGTCCGTACCGCGAACCTCACCACCTTGACCAGTTTGCATGAGGCCGGTCTGCATCAGACTGACGTCCCGTAACCCAAGGCGATCAACGGCGTCTTCTACCCAGCTTGCTAAGCGCTTGGGTTTGACGCTGAAACAGTCGCCCGCCAGACGCAGCATACGTTTGTCCATTTTCTCTATCTGCCGATCGATATGTAACAACACGATATCGAGGGTTTTCTGTTCAACTGTTTTGTCGTTTGAGGCTGCCCGTTGCGCCTCAAGGTGCAATTTCAGCAGCCCGCTGCGCGTGCGCAGGGTATCGGACATCTTCAGTAAGTACCACAGCTGGCTCTTACCCTTGTCAGACAGTCCGGGGCGCAATAGTTCCAATTGGTGCGCACACAATTGCACTCGGCGATGCAGGCTTTCGCTCTGCTTGGGAAATAGATTTCTCCCATCGGCGAAACAGTTGTTAGCAAGGCGATAGCTTTTCCTGTAACTGCGCGCCACGCGCTGACAGAGCGCATCATCATGCATTTGGCGAAATTCAGCAGATTCGCGCCAGAAGTGGCTGTCCTGGGCAAACAACTCGTTCAGCGCATCCCAGCTGAAGGGTTTTTCCGTGCGCAGCTTACGCGCTATGGTCAGTATGGCCTGTGCCTCATGATCTTCACTGGCGACACTGGCTAAACGCATGGCCAGACGGTGACCCGAGGAGCCATCCGCCAATCCACTGGCAGCCTTTTTCAGAGTTTTCACATGACTGGCCACTTCTGCGCTGGTATCCGCCCAGCCGGGCTTCATCAGCGACCACATACTGGCCAGACGTCTGCTGTCCCGGGTCAGCAGGCTTTCGGCGTACACCATATGTCCTTCGGTGGGCAGTTCGTCACCCCCTTCGGGCACCAGGGAACCACCGTCACGGATGTCGCACTCCGCCAGATAGCGCAGGCAACGATTGTTAATCTGCAGACTGTAACTGACCACGTAGTCCGCTAAACGCACGATTCCACCTCATTGATAACTGACCACGATGCTAGCGGTTTATCGATACAGAATCGAGGCTTTGCACAGGTCTGATATTACCGTTGAATCGAGCGTACCGCCCGCCGGACTGCTAAACTGGATGGCTTCTGATGGCACACGAGAGATGGTTAAATGAATGACGAACTGGTTCTGATCAACAAGCATGAAGGTGTTGCGACAGTTACGCTCAATCGTCCCGACGCCTTAAATGCCCTTTCAATGGCCCTGCGTAATGCTATTGCCGACACCTTTGATCAGCTGGAAGCTGACCCGGATGTGCAAGTGATCATCCTCACAGGGGCAGGCCGCGCCTTTACGGTAGGGCTGGATCTGAAAGAACTGGGGGGTGAAAAGCCGGCTGATGCAGCGGTCTCGAGCCGCGATCTGAGTGATGCCATCGGCGCACTGAGCAAGCCCGTTATCGGCGCAGTGAATGGCTTTGCCATCACTGGTGGCTTCGAAATTGCACTGATGTGCGACTTCCTCATCGCCAGCCCCAATGCCCGCTTTGCAGATACCCACGCAAGAGTTGGGGTTGTTCCCGGCTGGGGGCTGTCACAACGTTTGCCTCGTTTGATCGGCATCAACCGCGCCAAAGAATTAAGCCTGACCGGCAATTATCTCGATGCCGAAACGGCCTGCGCCTGGGGGCTGGTGAATCGCGTTGTGCCCGCGGAAGAATTACTGTCCACCTGTGAAGCCCTGGCACGGGATATCGTCAGCACCGACCCAGTCACTCGCGGCGAAATCCGTCGGATCATGGACGCCGGCTGGGCTGCGACGCTGGACGAGGGCCTGCAACTGGAAGACACCGCCAGCCGCGCGCATTCGAAAAGCCAGGTACGCGCAGATAAAGTTGCCCAGCGGCGCAAAGATATTCAGAGCAGAGGACGGGTGCAGACTGATGGGTAACAAACTTTCGTTCACTCATTTAGTTCTGCTCGCTGCAGCCCCACTGTGGGCAGATCAATATGAGACAAACGACCACTTTGTCCGTCCCGCAGGTGCTGCGGAGATGCAGGAAGTGGCCGCGGGCTACCAGGCACTATTCACCTGCTCTGCGCATTTTGTTGCCCAGCGCGAGCTGGCAGATATCATCGACGTAGAACTGGCAGATATGGCTGAGTTTGATTTACCTCCGCCTGAAATCGACCAGCAGAGGCAGCTTGTCCGTGCGCGTGATGGCAAAGGCTTCACCGCCATTGCTGCCTACCGTCCCAGTGTCGGCTGCACACTTCTACCGCCCACCTGGACCGAAGCTGATGTTGGGCGGCTGCCTTACATCAGCTTGCCAGCCGCGCCGTCTCTGGATTCAGTGGCGTTCCCGTCAGGTGACAAAGCTGACGTGAAACCAGATCGACAGGCGCGCGCGCTCCTGAACCAGGCTTTTGACAGGCAGACCTTTGGTGAAGACACCGTGACCGTAGGCATTGCCATTGTGCATAAAGGCAAGCTGGTGGCAGAACAATACCGCAAAGGCTTTGGCATCCACAGTGGGTATCGCACGTGGTCTACAGCAAAAAGTATCTCCGCTACTTTGATGGGTATTGCCGCCAAAGACGGTCTCATTGATATCAATGCGCCGGCCAATATTCCGGAATGGCGTTTTTTCAACGATCCACGTCAAGCCATCACTTACGAACACCTGTTACATATGTCGTCCGGCCTGTATAGCCAGGGTGCAAACACCAACGCCATGTATTTTGCTGGCCAGGACGTGATCAGCGCCGCAACCACAACCCATCTTGAAGCCGAGCCGAATACCCGTTGGAAGTACGCTAACAATGACACTTTGCTGCTGCTGCGCGGCTTGCGTGCCACGCTGGACGATGATCTGGCATATTTGCGCTACCCCTACGACAAATTGTTTCACCGCATAGGCATGTATCACACGCGCATGGAAATGGATCACCAGGGAAACTTTATCGGCTCCAGCCAGGTCTATACCACCGCACGGGACCTGGCTCGATTTGGCCTTCTGTATTTAAATAAAGGCATCTGGGAAGGTCAGCAGATATTACCTGTTGGCTGGACAGACTATGCGGCAAAGGCAGCCCCTGCACTGCCCAGAAGCCCGGGCAAGCGAGGTTACGGCGCGCAGTTCTGGCTGCTGGACAGTCTGCCTGGTGTCCCAGCCGGCACCTACACCTCGGCGGGAAACAAAGGGCAATTTGTAACCATCATCCCAAGCCAGGAAATGGTCATCGTGCGCACAGGTGTCGATCCGAACGGCAAGACCTGGGCGTTAGATAAGTTTGTAAACGCAGCCATCGAGGTGTTCGGGGAAGAATAACACTGGGCCGCAAGACTGATGGCGGCGCCGTTCATTTTGATAAGGCTCTGAGACAGTGGGCGGCGCCTAGGATGCCAGGCTCCGGTTCAGTCACCACCAGCAGCGGAATCTGTTGTACATAGGCACTTAAATCACCCCGCTCTTCGAACCGCCGTCGCAGCGGGCTGCTACGCACAAAATCCAACATACGGGGCAGAATCCCGCCGGCCAGATAAACCCCACCGGTTGCTCCTACAATCAAAGCGAGATTACCCGCCGCCGAACCCAACAATGCACAGAACGTTTCCAGCGTCTGGTGACAGACGGGATCCTGCATATTGTCTCCCAAAGAAAGAATCTCCCCCGGAGTCAGATCTTTTGCAGGCACACCCCACACCGCAGACATTGCTTCATAAAGGTTGCCCAATCCACGGCCGCTCAACACAGTCTCCCAGCAAACCGGACTGTGACTGGTGGCTAGGCGCCCCCACAACTCCACTTCCAGATGACTACCCGGTGCAAGATCTGCATGGCCACCCTCGGAAGCAAGAATCTGCCATGCCTGAGGATCAGCATGCGATGCGAGAGGAACCAATGTTGCCATACCCAAACCCGTGCCGGGCCCCAGGACAGCCTTTGTCAGCGGCAGCACTGCGCCGCCACCCATCTGCTCAAATGCACTGAAGTGCGGCACCCCGTGGGCCAGGGCAAAAAAATCGTTCACCAGATAGGGTGTGCAGCCTAAGACCGACGCGGCAGACTGCTGGCCAATCTGCAGGCCGGTATTGGTCACTTCCATGTGGTCCCCACCGAGCGCAATGGGTCCCGCAATCCCCAGCAGAGCAGCGTCAAAGCGCTTCTGCCCCAACACTTCTGCGGCATGTCTTAACAGATCTGCGCCATCAGCAAAATCGACAGTAGGCAGGGTCACAACATCACCCACCAACTGATCCTTCTCCAGGCATTGAAAACGAGCGTTAGTAGCACCAATGTCGGCCACTAGATCCATTGGGGTATCCTTAGTCTTTTAATACATAACCGCAGCAGACCACGGTGAGATGATAATTCGCGTCACTTTTTAGTATGGTGCGGCTTCGTTGTACAGGTGTTGTTATGTCTCAAACTTTGTTAAGCAACTGGTCTCGCCCCGTCTTCCTGGGCTTGCTGGGACTATTGCTGCTGTCACCCCTTTTGTTGCCCTATACGGTCACCGCAAGCGAGCGCGTGTTGACCATCGGCAACGCCGGCGAGCCGCAGACTCTGGATCCACACCGCTACAACCTGCGGCTGGAAGAAACGCTATTAAACGATCTGTTTCTCGGGCTGACCACCTTCAACGCTGCCGGCGAAATCGTACCAGGGGCAGCGCAGTCCTGGCAGACCAGCGAAGATGGCCTGACCTGGACCTTCACCCTGCGGGACAACCTGAAGTGGTCTGATGGTCAACCGTTAACCGCAGCAGACTTTGTTTACGCCTCACAGCGGCTGCAGGATCCTGCAACGGCGGCAAGCCTTGCCTACTTCATGTACATGGTCAAGAACGCACCTGAGGTGAACCGGGGAGAGCTGCCGGTCAGCGCGCTGGGCGTTTCAGCACCAGATGCGCGCACCTTTGTGATCGAACTGAGCCAACCATACCCCTATCTGCTGGAACGCCTACTCTACCCCACGGCCTTCCCCGTGCCACAACATGTTATCGAAACCCATGGTGAGGACTGGGTGAAACCCGCCAACTGGGTAAGCAACGGCGCGTATAAGCTGGCGGATTGGCAGCCGCAGGCTTTTGTGGAAATGCAGGCAAATCCACATTTTTATCAACCGGCGCCCATCGAAAACGTCCGCTACCTGCCCGTGGTGAACGAACAGAGCGCGTATAATCGTTTTCGCAACGAGGAACTACACGTGATTGGGTCGTTTCCTGTGGGCGAACTTGACCGCGTCAAAACCAGCTACCCCAACGAGCTACATCTATCCGACCTTCTCTCGATGATGTATCTGGTATTCAATACCGAAAAAGTGCCTTTTAATGACACCCGAGTCCGACAGGCACTTACGCTGGCAATCGACCAGAATATTCTGACTGACAAGGTGCTGCGCTCTGGCAACAAGCCGGCCTACAGCTTTGTTCCGAACCTGATCGCAGATTATCAAACCACACCCCTGCCGCATATCGGAGAAGCCAGAGAAGAACGGCTACAGAAAGCTAAAGCGTTGCTGAGCGCTGCCGGTTACAACACATCCAACCCTTTGAAGTTAACACTCCGTCATGTCAGCGGTGCAGAAGGGAAAAAGGTTAACCTGGCGATTACCGGCATGTGGCGCCAGATTGGTGTTATCGCGAATCTACAGCAGGCTGAGCTACGCAACCATTTTGCGGATCTTCGTCAAGGTGACTTCGACGTCGCCTGGGCGGGTTGGGTGGGCGAAAACAACGCAGAGCACTACCTTACGCTGCTGCAATCAGATATCGGCAACGTCAACTATGGCCGTTTTGCTGACCCCAGGTTCGATGACATGATCAAAGCCGCGCAACAACTTGCCGATGCAGCAGAGCGTAATGCACAGCTGGCAGCTGCAGAAGCTTATGTCGTCGAATCTTACGCGGTTGTACCGTTGTATACGGTAAGTGTGCGACGGCTTGTTTCACAACAGATATCCGGCTGGGAAAACAACCTGCGCGACGTGCATCAGATCCGGTATCTGCGTTGGGTAGAATAGACTCGCAACTGCAGCAGCAATGACCAGCTACATCCTGAAACGCCTGTTATTTGCTGGTGCAACACTGTTTGTCATCATCACCGTGGTGTTTTTCCTGTTGCGCCTGGCGCCGGGCGGTCCATTTGACGGGGAGCGCCGTCTGCCACCAGAAATCGAAGCCAATCTCAAAGCGGCCTACAACCTGGATGCGCCGCTTATTTCTCAGTACGGCCGATTTATTTTCAATCTGACGCAAGGGGATCTGGGACCATCATTCACACAGAAAGATTTCGATGTGAACGAACTCATCCGTGCGGGTTTACCTGTGAGTCTGATGTTAGGCCTGGGCGCCCTCGCCTGCGCACTGCTGTTGGGGTTATCCATCGGTATTGTTGCCGGGCTTAAACCCGGAGGTTTATTAGATACGTTGCTGATGGCAGTGAGCAATTTAAACATTGCCGTACCGACCATTGTTGCCGCACCGCTGATGGTGCTGCTGTTCAGCGTCACGTTATCCTGGTTCCCGGCCGGTGGTGCCGACACCTGGTGGCACTTTGTCTTACCCGCCCTGGCGCTGGGTCTTCCACTGAGCGCTGAGATTGCGCGGATCATGCGCGGTGGCATTGCCGAAACCAACCTTGAACCGTTTGTTAAAACAGCTAAAGCCAAAGGCCTGACAAAAACCAGAATCGTGTTTATGCACCTTCTGCCCGCCGCGTCGATCCCCTTGTTATCCTTCCTGGGGCCAGCTATGGCGGGGCTGCTGACCGGCTCGGTAGTTGCAGAACAGATTTTCGATCTTCCCGGCATCGGTCGTTACTACGTTCAAGGTGCCCTGAATCGCGACTACACGCTGGTCATGGGCGTCACCATTGTCTATTCCTTTGCCATTCTGTCCTTCAACCTGCTGGTCGACGTGGCGTATGGCCTGATTGATCCACGTATTCGTGTTACACAGGCATGAAGCTGTCAGGCCAACAGTTTTTCAAGTCTTCGCCGCTGGTCATCATTGCCGCAGCGCTATTGCTGCTGATGCTCGCTGGCGCTGTTCTGGGACCGGTGATCAGTCCGTGGGACGGTGAAGCAATGGATTTTGAGGCCTTGGAAGCACCACCATCCCTCAGCCATTGGTTTGGTACCGACCAGGTTGGCAGAGACCTTTTTGTACGCACTATGGAAGGGGCCCGCGTATCTTTTCTGGTGGCCTTCATCGCAGTAACTGTGAGTCTTGCAATCGGTATACCCTGGGGGGCAGCGGCCGGTCTTGCCGGTGGTCGAATAGACCAGCTGATGATGCGCTTTGTAGATGGGATGTATTGCCTGCCGGGCATTCTGATTGTCATTCTGTTAGTTGTCTTGTTTGGTCGGAATCCCTACCTGCTGTTTGCTGCTTTGGGCGCCATCTCCTGGCTGACCATCGCCCGCATCGTACGCGGACAGACGCTACGTCTGCGCAATGCGCCATTTATAGAAGCCGCCAGAGCAATGGGACTATCTACGCCCTACATCCTGCGTAAACATGTCATACCAAACGTAATTGGCCCTGTGATTGTCTACACAACGCTGGCCATACCGGCTGTCATTCTGGCTGAAAGTTTTATCAGCTTTCTGGGTCTGGGTATCGCCGAACCACAAACCAGTTGGGGTGTGCTGGTCTCGGACGGCACCGCAGCCATGGAATCGTCACCCTGGATGTTATTATTTCCTGCACTATGCCTGGGCATCACTGTTTGGAGCTTTAACACCCTTGGGGATCGGCTACGCGACCACCTTGATCGACGCGAGCACATTAATTAACAAATCACCGAAACTGCTGGGAGAACATATATGGGTATAGGCGCAGGCATTGGGATTGCCAATTTCACCTTCGATGACGCCAGAGGCTTCTGGCGATGGGTCGATCTGTGTGACAACGGCGGCGTAGATTCTATCTGGCAGAGTGATCGCATTATTGATGCGGCACCCAACCTTGAAACCATGAGCGTTATGGCCGCACTGGCCGGCGGCAGCAAGAAACTCAAGTTCGGTATGAACGTCGCAAGCCTGGGTCTGCGCAACCCGGTGCTGATGGCCAAACAGTGCGCCACCATCGATGTTCTCAGCGACGGCAGACTGCTACCCGCCTTTGGCGTCGGCAGCGCCCTCTCCAAAGACTTCACTGCCACCGGCACACCCACCAGAGGTCGCGGCAAACGCACGGACGAAGGCCTGGAAATCATGTCGCGCCTGTGGCGTGAAGATAACGTGGATTTTGAGGGGCAGTACTATCAGCTCAAAGGCGCCACGATATCTCCCAAACCCGTGCAACAGCCCATTCCTTTATGGACAGGCGGCTCAGCACAACAGGCGATTGAACGCACCGCCAGGTGGGCCACGGGCTGGCAGGCCGGCATAGAAACCGCTGCGGAAATAGCACCTGTCATCAGCGCGATCAAAAGCCGCGCAAACGAACTTGATCGGCATATTGATGATGACCATTTCGGCGCGGGCTTCGGCTTCCGCTTTGGCAGAGCAGATGAACCTATTGTTGAACGTTATCAGACGCTGTTAAGCAAACGCCTGGGTAAACCCGCCTCCGGGTACAGTGCGGTAGGCGATGTCAGCGACATGATGGCGCTGGTGCACGACTTCCGCACGGCAGGCGTGCACAAGTTTATCCTGCGCCCAATTGCGGCAGGCACCGAAGATATGATCAGCCAGACGCGCCTGATGGTGGAAAAGCTGATCCCTGAGATTGACGCTCTAAACCGGTAGTTGTGACTTCGCCGCCGCAACATAGCCGCGGTTCCATGTCGGGCTGATGGTCAGGTCATTGATACACACGTGTGGTGGGAGTTGCGCCAGAAAGCGGATCACTTCACCACAGTCTTCAGCCTGAACCATCTGCGCGCGATCTTCGTCGCTGACCGGAATCGGCCGATTGTCGAGGATCGGCGTAGCCACTTCTCCTGGACAAACCGCACAGGCGCGAACGCCATAGATGCAGGCTTCCATGTTGATGCTTTCATTCATGGCGTTCATGGCGTGTTTGGCGGCGGTGTAAGCGGGACCAGTGACCACGCTGACATGTTTACCCGCCCAGCTGGAGATGTTGATGATCAGCCCTTCACCTTGCGCTTTCATGGTCGGTAAAACCGCTTTACAGCAATAAAAAGCACCATCCAGATCAATACGGATAACACGATCCCAGTCTTCATAAGTGACGTTATGCCAGTTTCGATCTTTGACATTGATACCGGCACTCGCCACCAGAACATCGATGCGGCCATATTCGGCCACTATTCGCTCAGCAACCGCCACGACCGCATCTTTGTCCGCCACATCAAGGACTTCGATTCTGGTGTTGCCCGCACACGACGCCGCCACAGTTTCCAGCTTTTCCAGCCTGCGACCCGACAAGATGACCTGCATACCTGCCTCAGCCAGCGCAATGGCAGCACCTTCGCCAATACCTGTGCCTGCTCCCGTGATCCAAGCCACCTTCCCTGTTAAATCGCGCAACATGACTCTCTCCTTGCAAAAACGTCAACTTAGCCACAGGCACGCGCAAGGAACAATCGTTACTGTGCAACTGGCTCCTCTGAGGAAACACAAACATCTACGGGCGATAGGGTCTGCGGATCCCAGATCAACAGACGTCGCCGCTGGCGCCGCTGGGTGATCGACAGAAAAACCAGCAACAAGCGTTTGGGAAAGTGTCGGAAATTGGCTCGGAATTGTGTCGCTGAAATCATCGTCATCACCTGCATAACTCACCGTAAGAAGTTGCCATACTAGATGACACCTCCTGACAGCGTGGTGTCAGTACCGTCTTCAAAACGGCCTGATCATGGGATATCTGCTGACAACGGTATGTCAGTAGGGTGCCTGAATACCGGCGCAGCTCTGCTAATATACGGCTATGAGACCTGCTGACAGATTATTCCAGATTGTCCTGCAACTCGGCCGCGGTCGAGTACTGACCGCGCATACGTTAGCTGAGCGGTTGGAAGTCAGTGAACGGACAATTTATCGCGATATCCAGAATCTGATGGCCTCGGGCATCCCTGTTGATGGGGAAGCTGGGGTGGGCTACCGCCTGCATCGCGGTTATCAGGTACCGCCAATGATGTTTGACCAGGACGAGATCCAGGCCCTGATATTCGGGGCCCAGGTGGCTACCCGCTGGGGGGACCACGATATGGCGGCAGCGGCTGAGCGCATCCTCGACAAAATCGATGCCGTTCTGCCGGACAGCCTGCGTCCGCTGCTACAGTCCGAAGCGCTGATTGTGCCGGAGATGGCCAGCGCCCAGAGTGAACTGACCACAACCCACCTGGGTGCCGTAAGAGATGCGATCAATGATCGCAAGCGCCTGTACATCGCCTACCAGGATGCCGCAGAGCACCCAACAGAAAGAATCGTCTGGCCGCTGAGCTTAATGTATTGGGGACATACCTGGATGGTAGGCTGCTGGTGCGAGCTGCGCCAGAGTTTCCGCAGCTTCCGCATTGATCGCATTGTAGAAGCACGTACCCTGGCTACTCAGTTCCCCGACGAAAGCGGCAAGCGCCGGGCAGATTATTTTGCACAGGTCCGTGATGAAAAGAGCTGATGCTTGCTATAAAAAATGAATACGAAGAAGATTAACTATGTCATTTGCAATCGCGTCGGAACCATGGACATTGAAGCTCGCGCGATTCTGGAAATCGAGCTGTCCAGCCCGTTGCAAACGCAAGCCAATTCCAAACCACTACTCTTCAAGTACGTTCCGCAGATCAACCAGCGACTTAACTGGGTTGTGTGAGTTTGATGCACACAGGGGCTAGCCAATACATCACCAGACTGGGCTGGGCGCTCTGCGTTTTTTTTGCCGCTCAGTTTTCTATGAATGCTATGGCAATTGAATTTCATCAGAAGCTGGACTTACAAGTTCGTGCTGATGAACGCTCTTCCGCCCAGCTTCGCTATCAATACCGTGCCCGCTATTACCCCTCAGTTAAATTTAACGAAGTGTTGAGCGCACATGCCTTTGTTGTAACCGGCGATGAATTTGGGTCCAGCCACAACACCTTCGATGATGGGGCTGCTGACTATCTCTACGTCAGACGCGCGTACCTACGCCATGAAGGTCGTTACGGGAAAAGCGAGATTGGCGTAATTCCAACCTACAAAGGCAGCGTATCGTCATCCGGTTTATCTAAAGATGGCTGGATTCAAGGTATTCGCTATGTGCGCAACCTGGAACCCAGCGCACGCCTCGAGCTTGTTGTTGGACAACTGGATTCAACCGATCCAGCGGATGCTTTCGAACTGCCTACGGCTGTCGACTATCTGGAAATGGAATACTCGGCAGATTTCAACGACAAAACCAGTTACGAATTCAGTGTGGAGCGCATGACAGAGGCGAACTTTTTTCGCACAGAGATCCGCCATGCGCTCAGCCCGCATTACACCGGCTTCGCAGAACTTGTGTATCGCCTGGACGAATCGGCCAGAAAGGTGATCCTTGGCATCGACACAGAACTGGAACTGTTCGGCGTTGCTACCGAGTTCACTGCACTATACGCATATGTCAGCGACAACTTCGGGGAACGGGCAGACCTCACCGAAGACTTTCTCGGCCCTGGACACGGGGTGACGGCGGAACTGACCAGTGCTTTTGGTGACTCACGCTGGGACTGGTTTGTTCGCTACGACGGCACCGAATTCCGCTCACGATTTATTGCCGGCATTAAGTGGTCGCTTTAGCGAGGCGTTCGGCGCTCAAACAGTAAATGTGTTTGGACGAGTGCAATCACGTACTTCGACGCTGATACGATATCCCGTTTCTAACGACGGCTAAGGATTGGCTGGCTCATAAGGATCCGGCGTTCCTAACGGAATGGGCGGCTCTGCAGCAAGGCTCTCTGCGTGTTTCATCAGCAGTTTCATTATCGCAGGCATTACCCAGAAATTGTCTTCACCATCCCGCCCACCGTGCGCGATGAGATCGTATTGCTCCTTCGGATCCGTGAGCAGGTTATACAGTCGCGGCATACCAGGCTGTTCAATGACCGACCCCATCGTTTCCTGAGTTTTAAAGTGCAGTTTCCAGTTGCGCCATTTGTACCCTTGAAGCGTATCTCCGTTATAGACAGGGAAACCGTCCCGCGCCGATCGCTCAGCCTTACCAGTAATAAAATCGAGCTGATCCAGGCCGTCGATTGCACGATCAGTTGGCGCAGCTGCTCCCGCAATTCGAGCAAGCGTTGGATAAAGATCGGTGATGTGCATGATCTCATTGTGTTTCGACCCAGCTTCGACCTTTCCAGGCCAGCGAAGCAGGAATGGCGTCCGCAGAGAACCTTCGAGCGCTGTGAAGTATGTGCCACGCCAAGGCCCAGAGGTTCCGTGGTGAGGATAGATCTCTTCCGGGCCGTTTTCACTCATCCAGATGAAAACGGTATTGTCCCGAATACCAAGGTCGTCAATCGCATCCAGCAGCTGTCCGGCCCTACTGTCTACTTCAGTTAACACGTCGGCCCAACGACCGTTACCCGTGGTACCGGAAAATTCGGGATGCGGTATCGTCGGCAGGTGCACCTGTGTGTACGGAATATATGCAAAAAAGGGCTTGTCGCTTTTCACGCTACGCTGCATGAACCTGATCGCTCGATCCGTTAGATCGGAATCAATTTCAGCGCGCGCCTGCCGATCATAAACCTTTACTTCTTTCGGCTTTTTCCCTCTGGTGCTCTCTAGAATATGTGGTGTCTCGACAACCTCAGGATCGAACTGAAATCCTGCAGAATACGTCGCCTCATCTGTGGTGTTGGCAATGCCATACCATTCATCGAAACCCTGGTCTGTGGGGAAACGACCTTCAACCTCGCCAAGGTGCCACTTGCCGAACATCCCGGTTGCGTAGCCGGTGCCCGAGAGCAGCTAAGCAATGGTTTTTTCCCATTGAGTTAAACCGTACAACTGCCCCCAGACTACCTTGGTGGTACCAGATCGGACCGGATGACGTCCAGTCATCAATGCTGAGCGACTCGGTGTGCATTGCGTCTCAACATTAAAGTTCAGGAACTGCATACCTTCAGCAGCAAGTTCGTCGAGCCGAGGTGTCGGTGCGCCCCTCAAAATGCCACCGCCATAGACACCAATTTCTCCCCAGCCAAGATTGTCCATCACCACCAGAACAACATTGGGTTTGTCCTGTGCAGCCACCGTGGACGACAGCAGAAACAAAACCAGCAGTGTGCAGACGTTTACAATTCTATTCATGAGCGGGTTACTTTCCTTGTCTAGAGCTTCATTATTTTACCGTGCTCAGCCCAGAGAACTACGAGCAATACCACCTGCTTCCTCACCAGCACATGCCAGTACAGCACCATCGGGCGCCCAGATTCGCGATTGTGCCGCAGCATGACTATAACCGCCACCCGTGGCGCCCGCAAAACTTGCAAACACCACCCAGACTCCGTGATGCGCCGCGATAAGTTGCGCACGTTCCAACTGAATTGAAGATTCTTCTACCGAGTCCAATACCCCTGCAACATAGATATCCATACCGATATCCGCCGTTGACTGGGCATGCGCTGGCACACCTGTATCTTTACAGATCCCAAGCCCCAGCCGCCAACCATCCACATCGATAACCACGGGGCTGTTACCAGCGCAGAAACGTTCTGCCTCAGTCGCTGACAAGCACATTTTACTGTACGCCACGGTCACGCCGCTGCCTGCAACACACAGCATCGAGATGTGGTCTCCTAGATCGCTCCGCGTAGGCGCACCGACAAGCGCGAGCGCGCCTGTGTCGGCACAGGCACTGACAATAGATTCAAGTCGAGCATCCTCTGGATCAACCACTTCTGCGGCAAGCTCGTATCCAGTAATCGACATCTCGGGAAATACGACAACGCGAGCATCTGCTGCGCGGATTAACTCAGCATGCAGGTCCGCATTACGCGCAACGTCGCAAGCGATGCAGGCGGGTTGCACGGCTGCAATACCAAGGTGTTTAGACCGCGCCATAAAGCCAGTTAAACGACCTCTCTGAGCTGCCCACTCTCCACCTCATAAACAAAGCCTCGAACCTGGTCTTTGTGGGGGATGTACGGACTGGCCTTAATTCTTGCGAGAGACTGGCGTACGTCGACATCGATATCATCAAATGCCTCCAACGCAAACGGTGGCTTCATGCCGATTTCGTCGAAAATTGATTGTTTCAGATCGGCATCGGTAAAGGTAAGCATGCCGCAATCCGTATGGTGAATGAGCATGATCTCCCGGGTACCCAACAGCCGTTGAGAGATCGTCAGCGAACGAATGACATCGTCTGTTACAACGCCACCCGCATTTCGAATCACGTGGGCGTCACCTTCTGCGAGACCCAGCATCGCACCTGTTTCCATACGCGCATCCATACAAACAACCGCCGCAATCTGTTTCGCCGGTGGCATGGGCAGTGACCCTTTGGAAAAGTCTGTCGCGTACGCTGCATTGTTAGCTAAAAAATCATCTATTGCGCTCATATCGTTATCCTCAGTCAGTGTTTGCTGCAGTTACCATCCATCATATCGCCGTTCGCATTGAATCGCGCGTGGAACCTGACTATTTACCATCAACACCAGCACTTACTGTGCTGCCGTAGCAGTATCTATCTGGCTCTGTTCTGCAACGGGTGCTGACTCGGGCGCAATAGATTCGTCATATAACCGACGGACCATCTGATCCTGCCATTTCACATTCAGATACTTCGGCTCAAACTCAGGCGCCCGCTGCACAACGGTAAGCGTGGTCGACACGCCTACCACAATTGATGCGACTGCGATCAGCCAGTACGCCTGCTCGTAGGGGTCTCGGATTTTGTCTTTCCTGCGCCGCTTGGTGCCGGCCCATTTCTCTTCAAATACGACCCCATCAACCCGCACCCTGTCGACCTGCGGTTTTGGCGGCAGCCAATGCACGCCACGACTTGGCGTTCGCAGCAGCCCTCTGGTCTCAAGCGCCGGAATGTCCTGCAAAGTATCCGTTCGCTTGATCAGCTTGCGCACATCCCGTGCCCAGCCTTCATTGTCTCGATATGCTGACGCAGCAAGCCGCTCTGCAGGTTCAACCAGGTGCTGGGCCAGTTGCTGTACCAGTTCGCTGACCCAGGGGGCAGGCCAATAAAGAGCCTGTACCAGACGACCAAACACCAACCAGCGCCAGGTACTCTGCTTAAGCTGAGCCAGCTGGCTGAGTAACAAAACATCTACTAATCCTGCGGGCCAGTTTGCAGCCGCCGCAGGCAAACAGATCACCGCAGTACGATTTTGCAGGCGTGAGGGACCAACATGCCAGGCTTGTTCAGCACCACCTACGCAGACACGAACCGGCTGAGGGTAGGCAAGTCGCTGTTGCCAGTGCGTGCAGCGTGCAACTATGTTTGCCGACCCACCTGTGTGCTCGCTCAAAGCCGTCGTTGTTTGCTGCACCACGCCAACAGCGATGCGCAGGTGATAAAACACACCCATCAGCCAGATCAGCAAAAAAACACCAGCGAGGTAACCGGGTACGGGCGTGCTGTAGGATTGATATTCATCAACTGGCACAGGCACCTGCACATTGATCAGGTAAACCGCCATGGGTACACCCAGTAGAGCCAACAAGGCGCCTTTGCGGTACAGCACCTGCAACGTTGAACCCATGTCGCCTGGTAACAAGCGGGTAAACCCATAGAGGACCAGCGTCAGCAGGAACGCCAGCAGCATCACCCTGCCGTAATCCGGCAAGGTATCCAGCGCCATGGCTATGTTTGTCAAGCCATTCAAGCTAACCTGCCGCGATCATTTGATAAAGGTGTTGGAACGACATATCCAGAGCCAGCACCGCCACAACGTATACACCCATTACGCCAGCACCTTGCACCAGCGGCTTGTTCAAACCCCAGGCGACAACGCTGGACGCGCCGTAGAGGGCAAACGCGGCCAGCAGGTACGCGGGTAAGGCGCGCAGACTCAGTTCTATGGATGCCAGATTCAGACCAACACCTGACAGCGTGAGTACGCTGTCGGTCAGCAGGCTGATCAACACTAAGGTCAGTAGAACTTTAGCCAGACGCAGGCGGCTAATCCTGGCAGTCAGCAGTACCATCATCAGCATGAACATGGTCACTTCAGCAAACACACGCAGTATCACAAACACCACGTTGTCCTGGAAATAGACGGCTTGGGTTGCGGCGCTGACGACCACCGCCAGCAGCACCGAATATCGCCCCAGCCGCTGCGTGTAATAAATGCGTTCCGGTGAGCCCCGCAGAAAAACAATGCGTACAACGTCCTTCAGCAACCCCAGAACAAACGCCATGTTCTAGACGATCCCTAGCCTTTTATGCTGGAGAGAAACTCCAGCGTGCGGTCGTAGGCGCCAGCTTCAGTATTCATGATGGCCGCATTGAAGTCGGTCACACCCATGTCCGCAAAGCGTTTGATTTCACCGCGCAGCTGATTTTCATCTCCAACAATGGCGATATCTGCCGGTCCTGCAGCCCCTTCACGATCTAACATGGCGCGATAGCTGGGCAGCTGGCCATAGATAGTGAGTTCCTTGGCAATCTTCTCTTTAGCCGCGTCCACGTTAGTGGTCAGCACAATAGGCATGCCTGCAACAACGGTTGGGTCAGCGTTACCGGCATCATGCAGGGCAGGCAGAATATGGCCATCCATGGTTTTTGGACCCACCATCCAGGTGTTGGTACCATCAGCCAATTGGGCAGCCAGCTTCAGCATCACCGGACCCAAGCCTGCAATGACAACCGGCAAGCGCTCTGCCCCGGGTACATCAAGTGCCACGCCGCGCACGCGATACTGTTCACCTTCAAAGTTGGCCTGTTCACCGCGGGCCAGCGGCATCAGCACACTCAGATATTCACGCATATGTTTAGCAGGCTTATCGTACGACATGCCCAACATATCCTCGATAACAACTTTGTGGGAAAGACCGATGCCAAGAGTAAAACGGTTGTTGGTGGCAGCGGCCGTGGTCAAAGCCTGCTGTGCAATGGCTGTTGGGTGGCGTGGGTAAGTTGGCGTGACCGCAGTCCCCAGACCAATGCGCTGAGTTTCCCGACCGATCAAGGCCAGCGTAGTGATGGCATCAAAACTGAAGATATTCGCCAGCCAGACATTGTCGAGACCCGCGTTTTCCGCGTTTTTGGCCACTGCAATCACGTCATCGAGGGTATTGCTGACGCCATCCGCACCAATCATCACACCAATTTTCATCATTTTTCTCCCAAATCGTGTAAAACCTTGACGCTAGGCTCACTCACTGTGGCTTTTAATTCAAGGCACAAAAACGGCATAATCCGCCGCCTTCTCTTCTAATCACCGGATAACAACATGTCTGATAAAGAAACCATTGCCATTTTGGGTGGCACAGGTGACCTCGGTACAGGTCTGGCCATACGCTGGTCTAAAGCAGGTCACAAAATTGTGATCGGTTCGCGCACGCTGGAAAAAGCACAAACCGCTGTAGATGCATTGCATAAAATCAGCCCCGACACGCCTGCTGTTGCCATGGAGAACCTCGATGCAGCTGCTGCGGGCGACATCGTTGTGTTAACCGTGCCTGCAGAACATCAGATTTCTACCCTGGATTACGTCAAAGACCACCTGCAGGGCAAAATTCTCATCGATGTCACAGTGCCTCTCGTGCCACCAAAAGTCGGCACCGTACAGCTGCCTGCAGAAGGCAGCGCGGGTAAACGGGCGCAGGATTTCCTCGGCGAAGAAGTCATGGTTGTGACCGCCTATCAGAACATCGCCGCACACCTGTTGCAGCAGGATGTGGAGATTGAGTGCGACGTACTGGTTTCCGGCAACAAAAAAGCTGCTCGTGAAAAGGTCATCGAACTGTCCAAAGCCGCGGGTATGACCGCATGGCACGCAGGACCTATTGCCAACTCTGCAGCGGCAGAAGCCCTGACGTCGATTCTGATTCAGATCAATCGCAGCGGCATCGTGTCACACTCCGGGATCAAAATTATTGGTCAGGAACACTGAGGCTGTGACCACGGGGTTTTCCGTCATTCCCATACCCGGCGTACCCATGGTGCAGCCGGGAGATGACCTGGGTGAAATTATCCGCGCTGCATTAAGCGCGGCAAACGTCACCCTTGTGGACGGAGATATCGTTTGCCTGGCGCAAAAAATTGTTTCTAAAGCTGAAGGCCAGCTGGTGGCCCTCGCCGACGTTACACCGTCTGAAGAAGCGGTTGAGCTGGCAGAAAAAACCCTCAAAGACCCACGCATGGTTGAGCTCATCCTGCGCGAAAGCAGCGAGGTGATGCGGCACAAGCCCGGCGTGCTCATCATGCGACACAAGCTCGGTTTGGTCGGTGCCCATGCGGGCATTGATCAGTCGAATGTTGATCACAGCGAAGGTGAACAGGCATTGCTGTTACCCAAAGATCCGGATGCAAGCGCACAGCGCCTGCGTGAAGACTTAGCTGCCAACAACAGTGTTCAGGTGGGCGTGGTGATTACAGACAGCCAGAATCGTCCCTGGCGCATGGGTACAACCGGTGTTGCTATCGGTTGTGCGGGCTTCACCGTGTTGGAAGATTACCGCGGTGGCAACGACGTTTACGGACGCGAACTTAAAGTCACCCTTATTAATCGGGCAGACGCCATTGCCGGCGCCGCAACGCTGGTCATGGGTGAAACCACTGAAAAGATCCCGCTTGCCATCGTGCGGGGTTTCGCACCGGATGTTGATACTGAGGGGCAGAGCGCAGCCATCATCAATCGACCGATAGAAGAAGATCTCTTTCGCTAATGAGTAAAATCCTCGCCATTACCGGCGGCGTTGGCGGCGCTAAACTGGCGCTGGGGCTGAGCAAGGTGCTCAGTCCTGAAGAGCTGGTTTTTGCGGTAAATACCGGTGATGACTTCGAACACCTGGGTTTGCACATCTCTCCGGATATCGACAGCCTGACATACGCTCTGGCTGAAGAGAACAACACCGAACTTGGCTGGGGTCGCGCAGGCGAGACCTGGCAGTTCATCGAAACCCTTGGGCAGCTCGGCGGTGAAGACTGGTTCCGCCTGGGTGACAAAGACCTTGCGCTGCACATGCAACGCACCCAACTGCTGCGCTCGGGCTCAACGTTGACCGAGGCAACGGCACAGATCACCCGGGCTTTTGGCATAATGCATACCATCGCCCCTATGACTGACGATCATGTGCGCACAATTGTGCACAGCGATCAGGGTGCACTGGCTTTTCAGCACTATTTTGTGCGGGAGCAATGCCGACCCGCGGTTTCCGGCTTTGAGTTTGCAGGTATTGAGTCTGCACACTTAAACCCGATTATTACGGAAACACTGAAAGACTGCCGTGGCGTGATCATCTGCCCCAGCAATCCTTATGTGTCTGTGGATCCGTTACTGTCGCTACCCGGCATGCGTGATGCCTTGCAGAACATTCCTGTTATTGCGGTTTCACCCATCGTTGGCGGCATGGCCATCAAGGGTCCCGCTGCAAAAATGATGCAGGAATTGAATGTACCCGCAAGCGCGCCCGCCGTTGCCGGGCACTACGGCTACTTGTTGGACGGGTTTGTCATGGACCTTACCGATGCCGACCAGAGCGGTGAGATCGCCGTGCACACGCGGGTCACTGAAACAATCATGAATTCGCTGCAACGGCGCATCGAACTCGCCCGCTTTTGTGTTGAGTTCCTGCACGCGCTTTAATCAACACGGAAGTTGTCGAATCAGCTGTTGATGCTCCAGATCAGACTGTCTTCGTTTATCTGCACATCAGCACTTTTCTGTTGCTGCTGGGAAGCGAGCGTGCCGCGCCATAGTTCAATCCAGCAGGCCAGCACCATCGATCGCTCTTCGCCTTGCAGGCCCCGCACGATGCGCAGATCTTTTTGCCTTACCTCGAACCTATCAGTTTGCAGGTCTGATTTAACGAGTTGAACGTCATCACCCATACCGGTCAACATTCTACTCAAGTAGTGTCCAGCCGCCTTCAGATCACCGTCCTGCGCGCCAATCATGCTGAGCGTTTCCTGAAAATACTGCAGTCCGATAAGCCGAGCAGCCAGACTGCCCAACTTTAACGTTTCGTTATCACCCATCACCAATCGCAGTTCACAAAGTCCATTGCGCACATATTCCATGGCATAGTTTCGATTGGCTTTTTCGAGGCGCAGCGTATTCCACTGATCACCCGGCGGCTCGGGTTGATCTTCGGGCAGATAGGCAGGCGGTTGTTCATCTTTGGCAAATTGCAGGCGCTCATGGGGTGCCAGGTCATGATCATATTCGTAGAAATACCCGCATAAACCATACTCCCCCGTCATATCTTCGGAGACGCAGACAAATCCAAGACGCGGATTACCGAGGGACACGCCATTGTAGGCATACCAGCCGTTAAGAAAGCCTCGACTGACTTCTACCGGCACACCACAAATGGCAGGACCAGCGTACATCCAGCGTGGGTAACGAAAGCGCACCCAGGCTTTGCGGTCGGACTCAGCCATGTATTCAACGCCCACACCACCTATGTTGTTAGATAAGACATGGTACTTGGCGCACGCCACGGCGTTGGGCAGATCTGAAAGCCCCAGCTTGTCAAAGCTCGATAAAAATTTATCCAGATGCTGGCGGCGAAACAGATTGAACATCCACTTCTCCATGACTTGCGGCCCTTTGCGCGTCGCAATCATCAACTGCAAGCCAAGGAAGTAGGCGTGATGGATATGCGCCTGGGCGCGAATCGCTGCTATTTCTTCTGTGCTGGATGTCACTTTGCGAAAACCTGCTGCCAAACGGATGTGTTACGCTTAAGGCGATTCACTCAATGCCTGCCATCCAGCGCTGGTTCGATCCGCAAGCAAATCGTCGCCAAACTCGCGTGACAGACAACAGAACTCAAGTTGCAGCTGGTTCGGGTCGCGAAAATAGATCGACTGACACCAACCGTGATCAACAACGTCAGTCACAGTCACGCCTTTTGCCACCAGTTCTTCCCGTTTGCTGGACAACTCTTCTTCATCGTCAACACGAAACGCAAAATGCACAACGCCACCCTGAATGCCCAGCCCACGATTTAATCCCGTGTCAAAATCGTTGGGGATACCCGGCACATCATTACATTCCATGAAAGCAATAAGCTCATCGTTACCCGCATCGAGAAAAGCATGCCGAATAGTGCCGCCGGCCTGAGGCTGCATCAGATCACAGACCTTTGTTTCAAAGCCCAGAACATCTTCGTAAAACGCAAGGGTAGCGTCCATATCGTGAGTTGCCAGGCCCAGATGGTGTAAACCCTTATTTGCCATAACCCCTTCCTCTAACATGTATTTTCAGTGAGCATACAATACTGAGCCTCAGGATGAACAGGAGGGGTGATGATCGAGGTCTTTCTGATTTGTTTCAGGAAGATCGAAACTCCCGGATCGGGCGCCAGACGCGCCAGATCACCGCGGTAGCCACTATCGATATCACGCCGCCCATGAGCATGGTATTGGCCGCACCGATGACGCCAGCCCAGGCCCCTACCCAGATCGTACCGATATTGTTGGCCGTCTGGGCAGCAAGAACCATCAGCGCAAACGCGCGCCCGCGCATGTGATCGGGCGTCGTGAGCATGACGGTTGTTTGACGTACAGCAACAGTCACTGAATCAGCGGCGCCCAGAAGACCAATCATGACTATGCCCAGCCACAGGGTGTTTGCCAGTCCGAAGCCGAATAGAATAAAACCGTAGGCAAAGGAGGCGTACAAAACCAGCATGCCTTTGGCCCGATAGCCAACCAGGAACAGGGCCAGAAACGAACCGATAATGGCGCCCGTGGAATTGGCCGCGCCCAACATACCGGTTGCGCTGGCGCCACCAGCAAACAGACCCAAAGCCAGAACGGGCAGAATTTCACGATAAAATGAAGCCGTGGTGATGCCCACATCAAGCAGAAACAGCCCCGGTAAAATAGGATGACGGGACACGTAGCGCAGACCCGCAATGGTCTGCTGTATCGTCGAAGTGGGCGCATCTTCCGCGTGGCCGTCAGCGGTGCCTTTCGCTCTAATCAGCAGAGGCAACAGACACGATACAAGAGAAATGCTGCCAGCTACTAAAAATGTTGCACTGAGACCAGCGCTTACGGTGATCACCGCGAACAGCAGCGGTCCCGCTATCGCAGCGGCATTCGCAGACGCGGTATCGGTGGAAACCGCAACCAGCAGAATACGTTCGGGAACCACTATTGGCACCAACGCCGAACGTGCCGGGTTCGCCAGCATCTGAGATGCTGCGGTCAACGCAATACCCACGTAGACGAGAACGGGATTCAACTGACCATACAGGTTTAAAACACCCAGGCTCAACAGCGTTACAGACGTTGTCGCGTTCGCCAAAGCGATAAGACGCTTGCGATCTACCCGATCTGCGAGCGTCCCGCCCCAGAGCAGCGCAGGGATCTGCACCACCAGTTGCACAACGCCAATCATGCCGACGAGTACAGCAGAACCCGTTTCATCCAGCAGCCACTGCGCAGTACCAAGGATGCGCATCCAGAAAACGATGGACACCGTGACCATGGCACTCCAGAGTAAACGATAATCGCGATAGCGGAACGCAGCCCAGGGCGGCGCTTTGCCTGTAGCTTCAGGCGTGGCGCTATCGTTGCTTGGATCGCTCACTTTTCTGACAGCCCGGTTCGGCTAAACAATACCGCTGGCGTGGTCTTTCCAGTAACGATCCTTCAGCAGGCGTTTGTAGAGTTTCCCTGTGGGCAGTCTGGGTAGTTCGTCTTCAAAGTCGATTGATCGCGGACTTTTCTGCCTGGACAGATTTTCCACACAGAACGCCATCAACTCGTCAGCCAGCGCAGGAGAAGGTTCAATGCCTTCCATCAATTGAACAACGGCTTTGACCTCTTCGCCCAGATCTTCGTTGGGTACACCAAACACTGCAGCGTCAGCAATTTTTGGATGCGTGATCAGGAGGTCTTCGGTTTCCTGGGGATAGATGTTAACGCCGCCGGAGATGATCATAAACGTGGATCTGTCTGTCAGATAAAGATAGCCATTTTTCAGGTAACCCACATCCCCTACGGTGCTCAGGGAGCCATCACTGGAAGTCGCTTCCTCGGTTTTCGCAGCGTTGTTGAAATAACTGAACTCAGTGGCTGTCTTGAACCAGAGCTCGCCGGGCACGCCTTCCGGACATGGATTGCCCTCTTCATCCAGCACGTGCAGTTCACCAAGAATCACTTTACCAACGCTGCCTTTATTGGCGAGCCACTCTTCGCTGTTGAGCGCTGCGAATCCGAGTCCTTCGGTGGCGCCATAATACTCATGAATGATGGGCCCCCACCAGTCGATCATCTGTTCTTTCACTTTGGCGGGACAGGGTGCAGCCGCATGAATGGCAATTTCCAGAGATGACAGGTCAGCGCTGTCGCGAATGTCCTGAGGCAGTTTCAGCATGCGGCTGAACATCGTTGGCACCAGTTGACTGTGGCTGATCTGATATTCGCTGATGTAGCGGAGATAGTCTTCTGGATCAAACCTTTCCATGATGACAACCGTGCCCCCTTTGCGAATGGTCAGTCCGGTCGCGGCCTGCGGCGCTGAGTGATACAACGGTGCTGGAGACAGATAGATCATGTCCTCACGGTACTGCCAAAGGTCCGTCAGAAAGTGAAATAATGGTAGCGGATCTGCCGGTTCGTTTTCCGGTAACGGGCGCAGAATGCCCTTGGGTCTGCCGGTAGTTCCGGATGAATAGAGCATCGAGGTACCGAGGGACTCATCTTCGATAGGCGTCGTCGGATAATCGGCCAATGCCGCCTCAAAACTACGAAACTCAGTTCCACCCAGGCGCTTATCGGGCAGATCATCACCATCAGCGCCGACCACCAGGCACAATGATATGGCAGGGCTCTCTGCCAGCGCCGCCAGAGCAACCTCGAGCTTTTCTTTTGAAACAATCAACACACGCGATTCACTGTTGTTCAGTATGTAAGCGAGTTCATCACCCTTCAGATAGTGATTGACGCAGGTGTAGTACAGCCCGCTGCGTTCACCGGCAGCACAACACTCAAGGTAGCGGTTGTTGTTCTCCATGAAGATGGCGTAGTGATCCAGCCGTTTCAGCCCCATTTCACGCAGCAGGTGCGCAAGCCGATTGGCTCTGGCTTCAAATTCGCGATAGGACACGGCTTCGCCGGTGCTCGCCATGATGAAAGCGGGCCTGTCGGGGTTTAATTGAGCATACTTACCTGGATACATTGACCTTCTCCCGTTACCTCAGATGGACTTAAGCCTACCTTGTCGCTAGAGTTTGTCGATGTTAAAAATCGCCAGTTACCTCGGACTCGCTGTCGTCTTCGCCTGGTTCTTAATCGGGGGCATCACGCACTTTACCAACCCTGACTTTTTTGTCGCCATCATGCCGCCCTATCTGCCCTGGCATCTGGAGATCGTCTACTTCAGCGGCGCGCTGGAGATTGTATTCGCCATCATGCTGATACCGCCTGCAACCAGAGAACTTGCCGGAAACCTGCTGATCGCGTTAACGCTGGCGGTGACACCTGCCAACGTGCATATGTGGATGAACCCGCAGCTGTATCCTGACGTTGAGCCCTTTTTTCTGTCCCTGCGATTAGTTATCCAGGTCTTTCTGCTGTTTGTTATCTGGTGGAGTACCCGTAATACGCGCTGGGTCACACAGGCTCAAACTGCCTGACAACAATCCTCACCAGAAAATCCCTGGCTGCGCGGCTGGAAGTGGCGCAAAAAACGTACTTTGCATAGCCAAAAATCGAACTATCCAGGCCTGTATCATCATGATACGGTTTGTCCCCTTAGGCTTTGGGTGCCTGCAGAGTGTTTTAAGTAAACGCAAACACACACCCAAGCGTTGACGACAACTCAGTTGCGTAGCACTAAAAGGAGCGCAAATAGGGGTCGGCGGCGGTACATCAACTACATTTCGGGAGAAGCCAATGTGGGCCATCGTTCCCATAAAGACGTTCGAGCGCGCAAAGCAACGTCTTGCCAATGTACTCAGTGAAGAGGAACGACGCGCACTCATGCTGGCCATGGCACGAGATGTCCTTACCTGCCTCACCAAGTGTAATCAACTCTCCGGCGTCCTCATTGTATCCCGCACCCCGGAAGCCGACGCGCTGGCGCAATCCTTCGGAACTGAACGTTATGCCGAAAGCCCCACTGCTAACCTGGCCCAGGCGCTGGAACAGGCCGCCCAACATCTGATCGATCATTTTAATGCGAGAGGCATTATTATTGTGCCCGCCGATGTGCCGGGTATAGACGCAGAAGAACTCGATCAACTGCTCGCCCGGAATCAGACAGTGACCATTCTGCCGGATGCAGAAAATGTGGGTACCAACGGTCTCATTTGCCGACCTCCTTTGTGTATGCCCTACATTTTCGACGGGCAGAGTTTCAAACCACATGTCGATGCGGCATTCGAGCGCGGCATCACACCCACCATTGTGCCCGCCACTAAATTTGCCCTGGATATAGACACCCCCAAAGATCTTATTGCTGTGCTCAACGATGAGCCGGACAGTCAGACAGCCAGCTACCTGCGCCGGTCTGGCATCACCACACGTCTTGAGCAACTTTCGAATTCACTATCTGGATAGCGTTTTATGAACACTTCACTTTCATCCTCGGAAGATACAGTTAACAAACTGCTGTCTGACGCCCGCAGCGGCATTCTACCCAGTGACAAAGAGGCGCTGGCGCTGGCGGATTTCGACAATACCCGTGCCCTGGCAGATGTGGCGCAGGAACTACGCGACACCGGTTTCCACAACGTAGTCACCTATTCCAAGAAAGTATTTATTCCGCTGACGCACCTGTGTCGCGACGTTTGTCACTACTGTACGTTTGCGCAGGTGCCGCGCAAGCTTAAAGCTGCGTATATGACCATCGACGAAGTGCTTGAGGTGGCTCGCCACGGCCAGTCCATGGGTTGTAAAGAAGCTTTGTTCACGCTGGGCGAAAAGCCTGAACTGCGCTACAAAGCTGCGCGGGAAGCATTGTCCGAAATGGGTTACGCGAGCACCACGGAATATCTCAAAGCCGCTGCGGAAGCCGTGTTCAAAGAAACGGGTTTGTTACCGCATTTAAACCCTGGCAATTTGAGCCCGGAGGAACTGGCGGATTTACGCAGCGTATCGCCGTCCATGGGCATCATGTTGGAATCCGCCTCAGACAGACTCACCGAAAAAGGCATGCCCCACTACGGCAGCCCGGACAA